AATGACTACTGGCAAACCTCAGAGATATTATGGGTTCGGTTCCAGACCAGTGCAATAAAGCGAATATTGCAATAAACTGGGACACAGTATGTAGTAGAAATGATTGATTCCTTGTAAATTAATACCACTTTGCAATATTTAGCTGCTTCAAACAGTGCGTTTGCAAAGGGCTTTAATCTCTGCTTATCTGTTGATGAGTGGGGATTAAATCCTGCTGCCATAGCTGTGTGATCTTGTTTCCTGCTGGGAACAGGGCATGTAGCCAATGCAGGGTTAAGCCCTATTTCTCCAACTCATCAGCTGACATTACCAGTGACATCAGCTGGTGAGTGCAAGTGTGCGGGGTGGGGGGGGGATTGCTTCGCAGACCAAATTGGACCCCCTGGCGGGCCAAGATTAACCCATGGGCCAGGGGTTCCCCACCTCTGTAATACAGGTTGAAAAGAGAGGTTAACTTCCAGTCTTAAACATACAAGTGCCAGTAAGAATATTGGCAGTGCTGCCTACCTAACAGACTTTATGTGAGCCAGGGCTTAGGAGGATTTAGTCTTGCATTCTGTTTTCAGTGCCAAAGCTCAGTCCTGAAACTTCCCAGGGTGAATAACAGCTTCAGGGTAATTTAACCCCTTCCCCTCCCCTCATTCTGGGGTCCCAGATACCCCTATGGTTCTTACTTAAACCTTGACACATAAATTACAGCTCCCATAGTTTGGTCCTCAGAGTCCAGATACCAAATGGCTTGGCAGTCCTAGAAAGCCTAATGCAATGGAACTTCTTTATCTTCATTTCTGTCATACAGGTGTGTGCAATGCCACATACCTTTCTTCTATGATTTTCTTTTCAGTTCTGTGGTTGTACTTGTCAGAAGAGTACGTTCTCAAAATGTTGGTAGTGTCAGAGATTTTTTAAAAAGTTGGTGCGCTTTGCTGCAAAACGAGTTGTCAGCGGACCTAGTTCAGCTCCATGCATGCTGAATGTCTGTATTACAACCATTTTTCCTTCTCTTAATTCAGATAAATGTTTAGGGAGGTCTCTTAGGGCAGTTCCTAAGTCATGGATGGTAGCATCCAAAACAAATGAAACGAAAATACACCAAAGAGGAGATACTTGGCTGAGTGCAGGTTTGAGTCAGCCATTGTTATTCCGTTTCCAGTTGTTGTTGAGCCTTCTTTACCAGTTCTGTTATTTCATAGCGAAGAGCTCGCCAAAGGCTCCATGTTGTTTGATTATGGTTCAGCACACCTGACACTTGGCAAACCTTCCATCTGGAATTGCCCCTATGCTTATGATCTCAAGCAAAGCATTGCTGCATTGATTGTAACTCTCTTTGCTGCCTTCCCATATTGATACAGTGTGTTGGCCCAAATTCATTGACTATTCAAGTAGCCAGCAATACCTAATAGCTGTTTGAGTTAATCATGCCCTACAGTTATTATTTCATATATGTGGCAAAACAAGTTGTTCTTTAAGCTAGATTGTTAGAATCCTAGAATTAACTCTGAACACCTTTGCTGCATTTAAAATATATTATTATTATTTTGTTTTTATACTCCAGTGTAAACTATATTTGGAATAACAGATGTGAAGTACTGTCATCTAACTGTCACACCAATTGTTCATTGTTCTGAGAAGGTCACATCATAATTCATTAACAGTAATTATTCCCTGGGTACACGCTGCACTTCTTTACCTCAATTGCTTCATTAGCCCATGAGTGATTCTCACATTCGTTGCTGCAATCAATGAAGATATATTTATAATGTACAAGTGGATGCTATTAGTTACAATATATTAACTGCCTAATTTAAAATGGAAAAGCTATCTTTATGAAGGGCAATTAACCACTAAGTGTAATTGATAATTCACATACCTATGATTAGGAAAGACAAATAATGCCAAAAGAATGATTCTGGAGACGACATCTTTGGACATTTTAAATGGTCATAAGATGTGTGTGTCGTGCCCCCCCCCCCCCCCCGCTCCTGCCATGGGACCACATTTTTCAGAATTGCTTCTGATAGACATATTTTGCTTGAATTTACTTAATATGTTATACGTAATACAAAAGGTATGGATTTTGACCTCTTTGAAAAATCATCTTATTTCCACACTCCCTTATTTTATTATTGTTTAATATCATTATATACATGCTTCAGCATACAAATTCCACATCCTTTACAAACCTAATATGAACAGATATAAGCAAATATACCAATCATTCTTCAATCTCATCAACAAATAATTGTATACTGGGCAGAGCAACCCACCCCCTGATCTGCTGTTGAACGAGGCAGATATATTCTTCCATCTAGCATTGCTCAGCTCTGCCACTGCAGAGCTCCTTAATAAACCCCTCAAACTGTGGATAAGTGGAAGTGTAATCCAGGCTTGTTTGCTGCATCAGCCTGTGATGTGGCATAAAAAACAACAACAGGATTTCTTGCCCTGCTTCTTCTGCCCTGGCCAGTGTGAACAATTGGGTTGTGTGTGCAGTGTAGCTCCACCACTCTGTGATGGCTTCCTGCAGCCCTGGTAGGTTTAGGTAGCCCATTATTCTTTCCTCTTTTATGAAACTGAAACTAACTCTTCATTAATTTAACCCTGTAAGGGAATCTTTACTAATGTTAAAAAAAAGCTCAACATTTATTCCTACATTTACCGAACCAATGGTTTTGTTACCTCTGCATCTCACCCCGCCCCCAAATGCTGGAATACTAATGGCACTCATATGGTCCAATGAAGTTTTTATACCTGTTCTCTCCTTAACCTTTATTAATATTTGTAAACAGAAATTATTAACAATTCTTAATAACTGGACATTTCTGCTGAATAAGAAATGATGTCTATATCTCCAACATTCATCTTTCTTTGCATAAATCCTTTTAAACCCCCCCCCCCCATGGTGTCATGTACCATCTAGCTATATTTTAAAACATTCTCAACTAAATTTTCTTTTGGTCTAGCTTGGTCCTACACGGGTTCCCATACTTTGTTTGAAATACCTTTATTTTCACAGTCAAAATGGTATTCAGGTGTCATTTTGAGGTGCTTGCCAACTCTGAAGTTCTTATAGCACAAGTTTATGTTTGAGTTTATGTTTACTTGCAAATAATCCCCAGTGGGGTTGTATTCCTCCCTATATAATCTATAGATGGAGCCAGAAAGTTGCATCACCAAGATTTAGATGGATACTGAATTAATATATATATATATATATATATATATATATATATATATATGCTTTCGTAGATTTTCACGGGTACAGGAATGCAGGTTTTGGTGTCCTCGGGTGTCTTCCCGTGTAAAAGTTGGGGTGTCTAGGCGACGTTTCGACGAGGTCTCACTCGTCATCTTCAGGCTGGTGCTTTCGGCTTCTTGTTACTGGAACAGAGCAGGATCTCAGTGTTTGAGTTCCTATAAATACTGTTGAGGGGGTGTGGTGTATAGCCTCCAATGTTCTGGGCAGAGAGGAAGTTCCCAGGCTAGTGTGCCTTTTCTTCTTTTGTTCCTTAATTACTTGAGGGATATCTTGAGTGATTTCTTGAGTGATATTCTGAGTACCACTTAGGTGGGTCATTAGGTGTGGATTAGTTGCTAAAGCCTTCGTGTCTTGACCTCTTGAGCTTTGTGAAGAGTTTTTCTGAGAAGATGGCTGTACTGCACTTAGTTGTGCTCTGGCTTGGCTTCGTGTATAGGGGCGAGCTGTGGTTTTGTGTCCTGTGCCAGCCAGATCTGTGTAGGGATTGCAGGGGGGTGCAGCATCCGGAGGTGCCACCATGGTTTGGCTACTGGATGGTGTCTGTAATTTATCTGTGGAGAGGGTCTGGGTTTGGGTCTGGTGTGGTTGATTGGTGATGGCGTTCTGTGTGCCTCTGGATCTGGTGTCGGTTTTTGTGGGGAGGGCTAATTTCCAGATGTCTGGCAGGCGGGATGTGTCGTCACGCTTGTTCATGTTGTGAGGGTGTTTCTCTATCTCGATGGCTTCCATGATTATTCTCTTGTGGTGATGTTCCATGTTAAAGAGCAATTTGGAATCTGCAAAATTAATTTCGTGTCCTGTTTCTTTCATGTGTTGGAAAAGAGAGGAAGTTTTTTCTTCTTTTTTGACGGCATTCTTGTGTTCTGCGATACGTGCATTTATTCGTCTGTTTGTTTGTCCAATGTACGTGGCTGGGCAGACTTTGCAGGGTATTTCATAGACCCCTTGGTTTTCCAACTGGATTTTATCCTTGGGGTTTCTGAGGATATTGGCTATTTTTTGGTTGGTGCAAAAGGCTGTTTTGATATTGTGTTTATGGAGGATTTTGCTAATTTTATCTGTAGTGCCCTTGATATAAGGAAGGAGGGCCATGCCATTGTTTTCTTCTGTGTCTTGGTTTTTGGGGGTGTTTCTTTTTGGATTAGCTTCGTAACCCTGTTTTGCTGGTATCCATTGGCGATTAACACATTTGAGAGATTCTGTAACTCAGTTGTCAAGTGGTCACTAATCCACACCTAATGACCCACCTAAGTGGTACTCAGAATATCACTCAAGAAATCACTCAAGATATCCCTCAAGTAATTAAGGAACAAAGAAGAAAAGGCACACTAGCCTGGGAACTTCCTCTCTGCCCAGAACATTGGAGGCTATACACCACACCCCTCAACAGTATTTATAGGAACTCAAACACTGAGATCCTGCTCTGTTCCAGTAACAAGAAGCCGAAAGCACCAGCCTGAAGATGACGAGTGAGACCTCGTCGAAACGTCGCCTAGACACCCCAACTTTTACACGGGAAGACACCCGAGGACACCAAAACCTGCATATATATATATATATATGTATATGTATGTATATATATATGTATGTATATGTGTATATATATATATTGAATGCAAACAACATAATAATCTGACTCTTTACGTATGAGTTTGTAATACATTCTTCTCATCTTCTCATTTATATAAATTCTGAATTCTGTAGCTGATTGATTTAATGTCTCACCGTTTTGCTCTGTCAGGATCAAGACATCTGGTCTTAAGCTGCGGTTCTGCACCAATGAAACTCAAGCTACGCGAGACAAGTTTGTAGGAAAGTTGCAGCATCTGGGCTTTGACATTGGGGTGGATGAAGTCACTGCTCCAGCACCAGCAGCATGCCGAATCCTGAAGGAACGCAACCTGAGGCCACACCTGCTTGTACATGATGGTCTGTTAGTGTTTAATGCTTTGTACACACTTGCTGCTAATAACAGTGGAGGTGGGCACTTTAAATGTGGTGCAGTCCTATTTTTGCAATGGGTATGAAGACATTTCAAGGCATACATGTTTTCAGGTCTGTGGGTTAGATCCAGGAGCTCCTCTCCTTCGTGCATAATGCCTCTTCTGCTCAGGGTAGTGCTGTTTTACCCAGTGGCGTAGCGTGGGTTGTCAGCACCCGGGGCAAGGCAAGTAATTTGCGCCCCCTAACCCGTGGATTTGCGCCCCTAACCCATGGATTTGCGCCCCCTAACCTGTGGATTTGCCCTAACCCCAGATGTTGCGCCCGGTGCGGCCAGCCCCCCCTGCACCCCCCATGCTACGCCACTGGTTTTACCCTTTGCATTAGGGTGTTTCACGGGAAATGAAAACTCAGCCCCAAAATGTGCTTCAACAAGAGTGTTCACAAACTCTTGCAGAAGCATGACAGCTCCTATAATGCCTGATTATTATCGGACTGTGTGAAGTCTTGCACAAGTGTTTGATGAGCAGCATTAGTAGTTACTTTTCTTCTGCATGTTATCTAACCACCTTCTTGAACCAGGAATGACAGGGAAGGAGAACCATTGAGGTAAAATTTACAGAACATACAATTTATCTTGAAATTAGAAAACATCTTTTTTGCTTTCTATAACATCACAATAGCATATATTCTTGTTTTGCTATCAAGCTGCTTCTGCATGGACCTGGCAATATCTAGGGAGCTGGTCTTTTTGCTTACCATCATAGGAAGACGCTTCCGTGTTCTGACTTTCAGCTTCGAGATCTAACACAATGTGCCCTGTGTATCACCTAAGTGCATTTTCCACACAGCACCAGAGGTTCCTGAGGACGACAAGTCACTTTCTGCTGCACTTGGAATGAAGCACAGCAGAGACTAATTTATCTGCTTTGGCCTCACTGGCCCCAGTCTTATTTTAGTGCCCCATCCTCACTAGGAAGACTATTGGCAGGCTGGTTAATGGTTAATAGGACTGTGTAACAGCTGTTCTTCACAGAGAGCTCTTTCCCCCTGAATCTCTTGGTCTCTCATTTTATCTTTAGCACACCCTTGCCTTGTTACTCATGATGTGCTTTTTTACATGAGCCCAGTACCTGTCCACAGTTCCTCATCCTGGCCACACCTATCTCTTGGCTATTTGCCCTGTTGTTTCAAGACCTGGCTTGGGTCATGGGTCCTAGATCTTGTCCTTTCTTGTCTTCTTTGTGGTTCTGATTTCCCTAGCTATGCTCATGAAACCAGCTTCCATGTCCAGCCATGGGCTAGGATTGCCCTGCCTTTTCCTGTGATAAAATCAGTAAAGTTGAGGTCTGAGGGCCTCAGCTGGCCCTCCAGCAGATGGCTGTATCTGGTCTATGCAGCTGGAAATGAAAAACCTGATTGATCTAGCTCAGGAGATTAAACAACAACATGGTTGTAGTTGATGCGCATGGCCTTAGTCCCTTACGTTACAAAAATTGGGTTGTCTTAACATCTGGATTGACCAGGGTGCTCATGGGATTTCACTGGAGAGCAACCCCTCAACCTAATAATAAGTGCAGTAATGTTTGACTCTGTTTCTGACTAGACTTCTCAAGATCTTATGCCTATGTGCTCCTTGAGAGAACAGTGTTTGGGAATTATAGATGAAGAGGTGCCAGGGTGAAAGTGCAGGAGAGAGATGAAGGAAGAGGTTGCCCTCAAGATCAGACAGGGAAAGAAGGGGCGGCAGCATTAATTGAGGAAACGAAAGGTGAGGGAATAAAAAAGGCAAAGCCTCAAAATGATACTGAAAGGGGAGGGGAATAAATATTGGAGGGTGCAATTATGTCCCTTTCTGTGTAACCGCAACCTAAAATGAGGAAACGGTTAATGAGAAAGTTGTTATCTGTTCTGTTTTATCATAATCCCTGCAGGGATTCATTCCAAACATGTTGTCTTGTAATGACTGCCTGGGTGAAAAGCTGCTTATCTACTTGCTATGTCCAAACATATTGGGCATATTGTATTTTCCAGTAAAATGTATTGCATTTAGTGTTGTGCTGAACCTTTTGATCCCATCTGTTTTTTTGGCAGCTTGAAGAGGGTGGAGATGAAGTAAAGTGGCCTTTGGAGAGATGGGATGGGGAACCTCTAATAAATTTTGTGGGGGACAGCAGAAAGGTTTACTTGTACTTTTTCTTTGATAAGATACGAAAGAGGAAACAATAAATAGTACCCATGTTGAAAACAAAACAGAACATTACAAAAATTGTTATTGCAGTTAACCAGACCTTAACCTAATATGGTATTTATAAAAATAAAGGGTTTACTTTATTAAACAGCATGAAGCCCTTAGCACAAAAGCTCACATATTTCTAGTATTTCCTAGAAGACCATGCGGACCATGCAGTGCGTAGTGGATAACATTGGTCTTTCTAGGACGTGGTGTCGGGATGTAAGCTTTTGTGCAAAGAGTTCTGTACTACTGCAAGCACAAGTGGGCTCTTCTAATGGGCTAACAGCCCTGCTTTTTAAAAAGTTCCATGTTTTAGAAAAGCTTATTCATGTTTGCAGCAGTGCAGGGCTCTTGGCTCTAAGGTGCATAGGCGCCGACTCCATGGGGCTTGAGGGGGCTCGAGCCCCCTCAAAAAATTTTTTGGGGGGGCTCAGCCCCCCCAATAATCTCGGGCGCCGGGGGCGGGGGCTCCTGCCTCGCTGCTTCGCAGCACCACCGCCACTGCCAAGGCACTGCCGGGGGGAATTTCCTTCCTCCTGGCGGTTTCAGCCCCCGCGAGAACAGGGGAATCCCGACTGGCCACACCTCCCAGCCAGCCAATCATGAGCTTATTTATTATTCATGAGCTTTCCCGGGCCCCCCCAATATTTTTTATAAGTCCGCGTCCCTGCTAAGGTGTCCTAGAAAGGCCATGTTACTACAGAGGAGAAAAAAGGGTTTGAAGAGGTAAAAAGTCTGATCTGCCAACTGCTACATTTATTAATGTAATGCAGACCCTCAACCTATAAAATTTCTCCACAGTTTTTGTTTGTTTCCCCACAAAATAGGCAGAACAAACAATAAGACCTTGTGAAATAAGGACTAGGGCTTGATGCAACAGTAGTTCTAATTTGAGCATCATTTTAAAAACTTGAATTCTTCTTCTTCTTCACCATCAAGACCACGGTTTCAGATATGCCAATTTGCCTTGTAATTCAAAAGAGTCACTTTTGGAAATACAGCTGATGTACACTTTTGTGTTCAGTTTCATCCAAAAACATAACAAAAATGCTGAGCTGCAACTTTGGGGTGTCAAGTTCATTCCAAATGACGATTATCTGCTTGCCATCTCATAGATGCACTTGCTTGGTTCTCCAGCAATCAAGTGTCTGCATTCTGAGATGTGCTGCGGCTTGTGACCTGACCTTAGGTCTTGCACTGCTAGCAAAGAAGTGCTCAGAATGAGGATGCGTTTCACTGGAATAAAGCATAATTTTACACTGGTATCGCAACAAAGGTGTGCCAGTTATGTAACATCAAAAGGGAACATTTTGATTTCGATGTTTCAGAATTTAGCTGCATGTAATGCAGAATAAAGGTAAAGGGACCCCTGACCATTAGGTCCAGTCGCGGATGACTCTGGGGTTGCGGCGCTCATCTCGCTTTATTGGCCAAGGGAGCCGGCGTACAGCTTCCGGGTCAAAAAATTTCCCTTTATTTCCCCCCCAAAAGCAGGTCAGGGAAACCGAACCAGGTCCAGGAACAGCGGGATAGTGGCGCTGCGCCTCCCTGCTGTCCCCCGAGCTTGTGGGGCTGGCTGATGTCTGCCTGGCGCGCAGGGCGCTCTGCTTCAGGGCGCCCCACCCGCCGGGCGGCAGGCTGCTATCTGCAGCTTGGGGAGCCTTGCGGGGAACTCCTGCAGGGCTCCGCACGCTGCGGATGTATGCCTGGCATGAGGGGCGCTCTGCTTCAGGGTGCCCCACCCGCCGGGCGGCAGGCTGCTATCCGCAGCTTGGGGAGCCTTGCGGGGAACTCCTGCAGGGCTCCGCACGCTGCGGATGTCTGCCCGGCGCGAGGGGCACTCTGCTTAAGGGTGTCCTTCGCGCCGGGCGGCAGGCTGCTATCCGCAGCATGGGGAGCCCTGCAGGGAACTCCTGCAAGGCTCCCCACGCTGCAGATGTGTTCCCGAAGCGCCGGGCGCTCTGCTTTCAGGGCGCCCGACACTCCTGGAAGCAGGCTGCTATCCGCAGCGTGGGGAGCCCTGTGGGGAATTCCTGCAGGGCTCCGCACGCTGCGGATGTCTGCCCAGTGCGAGGGGCGCTCTGCTTCAGGGCGCCCCTCGCGCCGGGCAGCAGGCTGCTATCTGCAGTGTGGGGAGCCCTGCAGGGAACTCCTGCAAGGGTCCCCACGCTGCGGATGTGTTCCCGAAGCGCCGGGCGCTCTGCTTTCAGGGTGCCCGACGCTCCGGGAAGCAGGCTGCTATCCGCAGCCTAGACATCCCTGCGGGACCTCCCGCAAGGCTGCCTAGGCTGCGGATGTGTTCCCGAAGCACCGGGCGCTCTGCTTTCAGGGCGCCCGACGCTCCGGGAAGCAGGCTGCTATCCGCAGCGTAGACACGGCTAGCGGAGCGCTAATCCCGAAGCTTGGGGCGTGCGGAGCTCAGTGCGCCCCAAGCTTCTGGGTGCCGGCAAGGTCTCTAGCCTAGCGGAGACCTTGCCGGCACCCAGAAGCTTGGGGCGCGCTGAGCTCCGCACGCCCCAAGCTTCGGGATTAATGCAGCGCGCCGCTAGCCGTGGGAGAGCTGGGTCTCCCACGGCTAGCGGATAGCTTCCTGAAGCCTGGAGAGCGAGAGGGGTCGGTGCGCACTGACCCCTCTCACTCTCCGGGCTTCAGCGAAAGCCTGCATTCGCTCCATAGGACGCACACACATTTTCCCTTGCTTTTTAGGAGGGAAAAAGTGCGTCCTATGGTGCGAAAAATACGGTATTTATCTACCTGCACTTTGACATGCTTTCAAACTGCTAGGTTGGCAGGAGCAGGGACTGAGCAACGGGAGCTCACCCTGTTGCAGGGGTTTGAACTGCTGACCTTCTGATGAGCAAGCCCTAGGCTCTGTGGTTTAACCCACAGCGCCACCTGCAGAATACACACTAGCAAAATCCAGAAAGATTGGCTGTAGATGGCAAGCTGCTGTTGATTTATAAGTGTTGATTGCTTGGGTTTTTCAAGTTCCTTTCCAATGTTCTTCCATTGTGTTTTACGGCATGCGCACACACAGAAGTGGAATTGCCATGTGGGGTGCTTTAGTTCAGGAAGTTGATCAGTCATGCTGTCTTCCAGAATGTTCCATACCATTCTCTCGACCCTGTTTTTCATTATTTCCCCACAACAGTCAGTCAGCTACATTCACACAATACATTTCAAGCGGTATTAATACCACATTGAACAATCAAAGAATTCTGTAGTTTGTTAAGGGTGCTGAGAGTTGTTAGGAAGCCGCTTTTCACCTCACAGAGCTACAGTTCCCCGAATTCCATGTGAAGAGGGATGAACTGTGAAGCCACTCTGAGAACAACCCTCGGGACCCTTAAAAAACTACAACTCCCACAATTCTTTGGGGGTGGAAGCCATGTTGTTGTTTTTAAGTGGCGTTGTAGTGCTTTATACGTATGGTGTGAGTGTGACCTAAGTTCACTCCTCATTGGTGTGTTTGGTTGTTGTTGTTTTCATCCATCATAGTTTTTTCCTAAATATTTTTTTTGCTTCTGCAACCTTTGGAATCCTGTAAGCCTGCTGATACCTCCCTCTTGTGGTTGGGTTGTGCCATTTTGATTATGTAGTTCTCGGTGTGTAGATCCTTGAATTCACTTTTGGTGTATCAGACAGAGTAGTTCAGCCTCCCCCCCCCAAAGAATAGTCAGAACAGCAGTGATAAGTCAATGAAAAGTTGAAGAAAGGGTAGCAAATATATGGCTTCCTGAAATAATTTGATTTTTCTCCCCCTTAGATCTTATCCCAGAATTTGCTGATATTGATAGAGCAAACCCAAACTGTGTGGTGGTGGGTGATGCAGCAGACAACTTTTCTTACAAAAACCTTAATGCTGCCTTCCAAGTGCTCATTGGTTTGGAGAATCCAGTTCTGATATCTCTAGGAAGAGGGTAAGTTAATCAATTTATTTATAGTTCTCAGAAATATTGGGGATGCCAGAAATATATGTGTGCTGCTTGCTTCCCCTTCCAGCCTCAAGTTCTTTTGCTGTATTTTGACTTCTTTTTTGAAGCCCAGAATTAGGGAGAATTATGCTACTATTGCACTGCTCTTTGCATTATCTTCTTAATAACTTCTTTCCTCATGTTTTATCTGTTATTGCTGCGTATTAGACGTGTGTTTGCAAAGACTACCATGTATTCCTCTAGCTCCCATTTTTAAAAGCACAGGAAACAGCAACTGTCTCAGAACAACATGAAATCCGTTTTGCACCTAACACTGCCTAATTTTATTAAGGCTGCCTAACACTTGCTGCACACCATTTAGGATGTTTACAAGCTACAGGCTCTTGGGCTTCAACACCATTCCCAGCCTTTTATCTCCCTCTATCTCTTTGATATGTTGCTTTGCTTAATATCCATCCTAAAGAAGTACTGATCCCTAAAAGCAATTCTCAACCAGTGTAACTGTTTTCAATAGGGGTAGTATGCTTGCGGACTGCTGTCCTTACCAACATTTTTGCAGCAGCATTTTTTTCACTAGTTGCAATTTCTGGACCATCTTCAAGGGCAGTCCCATGTAGGTTGCATTACAGTAATCCAGTTTGGAGTTTACCAGAGCATGAATAACTATGGCCAGGCTATCCCTATCCAGAAATAGCTGAAGCTGCGCAGAGCAGCTCCTAATCCTCAAGCCCACCTGGGCCTTGAGTGACAAAGATGGTTCCAGGAGCCCCACAAACAACACACCTCCCCCTCCTTCATGGGAAATGCAACCCACTATGAACATACTAATAACACCTCACTCCAAACCCCCTGATGACAGCAGCCTCATATAGAAGTTAAATAACATGGGATCCCTCAAGAAAGCTTCCATGGGAGCTGAGCACCAATCACCCTATGCTATTCTCTGAAATTGTCCTTGAAGGTAGGAGCAAAACCACTTTAAACTCATGCCTCCAACTCCCTCAGACAGTATCATGTTCAATGCTGTCCAAAGCCATGGAGAGGTCAAGGAGAATCAACAGGCTTGCCCTCCCCCCTGCCCTTTTCCTGACAGAGGTCATCAGCCAGAGCAACTAAAGCTGAGACTGCGTTGAAATAGGTCTAGAATGATAATCGGTTTTATACAAGCATGCCTGAAGCTGCTCTACCACTACGTTCTTGAGCACTTTGCTGGGAGCATGTACACACTGGGCGCCCAGGAGCCCTGATTTAAGACTGTGCCTCTAACATTGATTCTTTAGAGAATAACTCCCAGTGAACTTGGTAGGTCTTTCTTCTGAGTGGACCTGCTTTGATGTGGCTTATAGCTCCTTCTATCCCATTGATCTCAGTGTGGTGCGCCTTGATCCCCTAAGCATGATTACTTGGAAGAAAGCCCAAGTGAATTCAGTGCAGTTTACTAAATGGGTTAATGGCTGGAGCTTTTAATGCACTGGACAGTATTGGAGTGCATCCATTTTGTTTTATTCCTTGGAACTGTCCCATTTGATTTATTTCTAAACAGCTGTAAGGCTTTCTCAGAGTAGTGATGCAGGTAGTTCAATGGAGCTAAGTAGGGGTCTGCTGTGATTGTTGACTTCCTCTGAGTGTGTTTGTGTGTGTGTTGCGGAAACAGACCAAGTCTTACTTGGAGTGAAGTAAATGTTGCAGAAATATGAAGTGTACAAGACCTTTGTAATTCAAACCTCCTCTTTAGGCTTGTAACATCTTCCATAAAGGGGATCACTTTGCTTTGTGTGAGAAGGTGACATTAAATTTGCTTTGATTCAAAATTGAGCTTCTGTGGAAGCATCTAGCTGCAGCAGCAGTGCTTCTACCAGCAGTTATTTGTTTTCATGTGGTATTTCAGTAGTAATCTCTCTCTCTCTCTCTAAATATATATAACAGAAAAGTATAGATAGAGTTCACTCCTTAAAAATTACTTTGAAGAAAGAAACTAACATTCTTTCAGCTAAAGTTTTAGTGTGCTCACTTAGAAGCGCAGTGCATTAGACTTACTGGAGCAGAATGCTCTCCTTGTGAAACTGGAGTGATTTACATTTAGCATCTGTTTTGGGCCGAGAGTGGGAATTGGCTTTGTAATTTCTTCTGTCATGCCACTGTCAGAAAATTAAGCTGTTTACGCTAGACTATAGAAGGTTAATGGCTGTTCTAGCAAAGGTCAAGTGGTCATTTTAAAGAGAGGCTATGCTGAATAATCGAAAATGGCAGAAGGATAAAGCATAAAATCTTATCTGACTGCTCATCCTATACATTTCTGCTCTCTACCTATCTATCTTGGGACTTGAAAGAAAACACTTGCCTTATCCTGATTGACTCTTTTACTATTTCTAGAAAAGAAATATGCTAAATAAGATTCTGAATATTCACTAAAAGAATGGCCCTGGCTTCATTCCTGAGCATAGTTTATTTGGAGTAAGTTCTACCTCAGCATTTCTAAATAATAATAATAATAATAATAATAATAATAATATCTTTATTGTCATAAAGAAATATGGTTAAAATAATTAGTCAGCTTGGGCGGCAAACCCCCAGACCACTTAATTTTGTGCTTCTGGTTTGGCTAGTCAGTGAGATTCTTCACTTACAATGGAAGAAGAAAGAGTGTTTAAGGTGTGTATGTACAGAAGGGAGTTCTGGCTTATTGCCACCATCTTGGTGGCATATACACCCATTTAGTAGTAGTAGTAGTAGTAGTAGTGATGATGATGATGTCATAGGACTCAACTGGACAAGAGATCAGGCCTCCCGCTTCTCTCACATTTTTGTCAAAAGCAACCATAGCGAACCCACCAAATTCGTTCATGGAAGGTGAGGTTATCAGGGACTCGTGGTCAGGATGTCTGTGTATTGTCTCCAGTACTGGAAGCGGTAAGCTTCTGAATGCCAGGTGCTGAGGAGGACAAGTGGGGAGGGTGCCACTGCGCAAATGTGTTTCTTGCAGGCTTCCTTATAGGGAACAGGATGCTGGACTAGATGGGCCTTTCGTTTGATCCAGCGAAGCTATTAGTATCTTCTTAAGATCTAAAAATATTTGATTCTAATTTTAACCTTTTCATTTCCAGGCGTTATTATAAAGAAACAGATGGCTTAAAACTTGACGTTGGGGCATATATGAAGGCACTGGAGGTATTTTATAGTTCAAAGGGATATGTTTATTGCAAGCATTGCACTGCACAACCACATTTGTTTGTATTGATCAGCATGTGGACACAAATCGGATGGAGGTTTCTTATATTAGAAATTGCAAGTGGGTCTCTGTCTTTCTTGGGCTTTTTTTTTTTTTTTGAAATAAACGTTTTAAAAAGTCCTTGTTACTTTGGTGGTGTTGATTATTTGGAGGAGAGTAAATATATTCAGCTGTAAGAACAATGCACAGCTCTCTCATTTACTTTGGAACCTTTTTCTCCGTAAAGCTTAGGAGTAAATGCATTTCACAAACTGAGGGGCAGAGTTAAAAAGTGAGCAAGGAGGTAGCTCATCAATTTTATATGTTAACAACTGACAAGGTTCTAAAACTTCCGAATGGGTTTTATGATCCCTAAAAATACCAATGTATGGATGGAAGACGGCATTTAAAGACAGTGGTGTTGTGGGGGCCCATGTGCCATACTTGTCGATCTTTATAGCAGCAGTCCATATCACATGTAAGCTGTGATAGTGCTTTAGCAAATAATGTAGCACAAAAGCCTGTTGCCTCCTCGAAGGTGGCTTGCCAAGCACCTACCTCTTAATTTCCCCAAGTGTTCATTTGGAAAGGCCTCTTTTGTTGCTACTTTTATCTGCTGACCTTAATTTCCTTCAATTTTTGTATTATTTTGCTGCTGCTGAATTTATTATTGTTGTTGACCTGTATTGTTCTGAGAACGTTTGAGAATGTTTGTATTGAAGGGTGGCATATAAATGCATAAATAAATAAAATATAACAAAAAAAATTCCTTCCAGTAGCACCTTAAAGACCAACTAAGTTAGTTCTTGGTATGAGCTTTCGTGTGCATGCACACTTCTTCAGGTATCTGAAGAAGTGTGCATGCACACGAAAGCTCATACCAAGAACTAACTTAGTTGGTCTTTAAGGTGCTACTGGAAGGATTTTTTTTTTTGTTTTAAATAAAATATAATTAACCATAGCCTTTGACCTTAATTTTAAAAAATGCACAACACAATTGTGGTTGGAACCGTATTTACCCTGTGATGATGCCACCTTGCCATTGTCAGTGGTGGCCAGTGAAGAGAAATGGAAACAGGAGAACTCACTGTGATAATAATGCTCCCATCACAGGGCGAGTGTTCCTCCACAATTGTGAGGGAGAGGAACCCAAGGCAGTGTTCCCATGCTGCACATAGCATGTAATTCTCACCAGAGAATGTGCCAGAGTCTGTAGGCATGCACTTGCATCTTTGAAAGATTAGGCTGCAAGTCGCTTGAAAGAAAAAGACAGGCTATGTTAGTAGTGGTATGTCAGCAATGAGCCAAAGCATGAAGAGACTTGTTTCTATCAATTGCAGCATGCCTGTTATCTGCTACTTTTTGTGATACCGTTACATTCTTTTCAAGTAGCCCACAGAAACTCATAGCTTTTTTAAAAAACAAAAACAAAACAAACAAACCCAATTTTTGGATAGTTTCAAAGAACATGTCAGGCTTATTACCAAAAAATATAGGTGTACATTGGAAAATTGCACAATTATTTACACATGACTATGATGATGATAAGGCTGGTGATTTGTGTGTAAATCAATCAGACACCTTTGTTTTGAAAGTTAACCATGTTAATTTTGTTTTCTCATCTAGTATGCATGCGATATTCAAGCGGAGGTGGTGGGAAAGCCAGCCAAAATGTTTTTCCAGTCAGCCTTGACAGAAATGGGCATTGAACCACACCAGGTAAGCTTTCTTGATTAATACCATCTGCGTTGATTCTAGCAATACCTCCAGGGGGTGGTTTGGAAGGGAAAATATAATCAAACAGTCTACTTTCACAAAAGGTGGTATAACATGGGAGCTGCTCCTCTTCTGTGAAAAGAAAAATTGCATGGTTCCCATGTTAAATTGCTCACTCATGGAGATTACTCACATGAGTTGGGTACTGTTTAGTTTCTTTTATTTTCCTTTACTCCCTCCACCCCACTTTTTAAAGGATGAGTTGGCCATAGAGTATTTGCTTGAATACATTCATAGTGCAGAATGCAATTTTAAAAAATGGCTTCTTATCTTTACCAAATCTTGAGTGTGTTTTGACATTGTAGGATCCACTTAGCTCACATCTGTCAGGGACCAGGAGTCAGATTCCTCTTCATTGGGTAATGGAGGTGAGGACTCCTTTAAGTAAAGCTGGTGGCCATCATTACAACTATCACTTCCAACTATTTTCTCCCTCAAGCTTTCATACAATGCATTTCTCTCCCAGAGCAGTCTTCAGTATTGTTTCAGATTTAAAAGCAATTAAGTTCTTAAACATGTTTAAGACAATAATATTATACTGCTTTTCTTTTATGTGCCATAGCCTTTTAATTTGCTGTATCTTGTTATACAGAAGTTGGAGAAAAACATGCCCTGGCTCCACTTTAAGCCAGTGGTATAAGTCCTCCTGCGACAGCACAAACTTTCACTTGGAAGGAATAAGAGTTATGAATTACAAGATAATAATTCCATCCAGTGGTTTGGATGATAAAAAGAAAAACAACAGCATGTGTTGTGTCTTAGAACCTAGAGCTGATGCTCTGACCCTGTATTTCATGCTTTGTTTGTTTTATCGTATTATAGAATATAGGCATTGAGAAGAAATAGTAAGTCATCGAGGCTCAGTTGTCCGTTGGATGATTGTCCCTTAAATAGATTTTAGAAGGGGGATGTTCATTCTAATTTTGAAAATATCAGACTTTGGAATTTGAAATTAAAGGAAGCTTTTCCTTTTACAGTGGTGCCCCGCAAGACGAATGCCTCGCAAGACGAAAAACTCGCTAGACAAAAGGGTTTTCCGTTTTTTGAGTCATTCCGCAAGACGAATTTCCCTATGGGCTTGATTCGCAAGATGAAACGTCTTGCAAGTTTGTTTCCTTTTTCTTAAAGCCGCTAAGCCGCTAAGCCGTTAATAGCCGCTAAGCCGCCAAGCCGTTAATAGCCGCTAAGCCGCTAATAGCCATGCTTCGCAAGACGAAGAGACTCGCGGAACGGATTAATTTCGTCTTGTGAGGCACCACTGTATATCACATTCCAAAGTTCTTCTTTTTTGAGTGTGTGTGCCTTCTGTTTCCATTCCCTGTTTATTCTCTCTTACATTCTAGCATTTGGGAAAACATTGACCCCCTTTTATACACAGTTGTTGTTGTTGTTTAGTCGCATTTACGCACACACAGAGTCTTACAACTGACTGGCACTATGGTAGTGTGGCAAAATGGTTAGAGTGTTGGACTATGACCTGGGAAACCAGGGTTCGAATCCCCACCCAGCCATGAAGCTCAGTGGGTGACCTTGGGCCAGTCAGCGTCTCTTAACCTAACCTACCTCACAGGGTTGTTGTGAGGATGAAATGGGGAAGAGAAGGTACACCACCTTGAGATCCTTGAAAGATAAAGGTGGTCTATAAACTTAATAAATAGATATATAGTGCTTCCTTCTTCCTTGTCTGCTTCCCCACCAGCACCACACAGCTGTCTCTCGAACCATAGTGCTGATAGCTTCGCACAGTTCTATATGGAATATTCATAAATATTATATAACCCTTCAGCAACTGCACGGAGGTCATTTCAATACAAAGTCATTATTCTACCGCCAATACAACCTCAAAGCCTGCAGCCTGTGTTTCCCACAATTGTCTGTGTGGCTTTTGTATACCAGTTGTTTATCTGATTTTGAAATTGCAGAAAGAGAGTTGTCTTGCCAATGTTCTGCACTTTCATTTGTTAATCTTATTTTGCTCACTGCAGCCATCATGTGCCCTAACATTGTCCAAATGGTGTGGCTTTGACCACAGTAAATAACAGTAGAGGAAATTATTCCTGTGATACAAAATCCTATAGGATCCTTCCCCACACAGGCAGACATATAAATGAAAGAAAGCTTTTTATGGCATTTAGTCATACTAATTTTTTTTAATGACTTTTTATCCCTTATTTTGCCAGGAATTCCTGAAAATGCTGCTCTGTGACAGTCTGTTAAAATCCTGATCCTGGATTTTAATCCTGATCTTCTTTCCTAGTTATCACGTAGCTAAGCTATATGTTTCACTTTTTGTAATCTTCCTTCACAAGTCAATCCTTAAAGCACTTTTAACTGTTTTTGCCACTCTTCCCCAAGCTCTTTCCAATTTGTTGCTATCTTTCTAGTAATGAGATGGCCAGGACTGAACACAGCATTCCACTTGTACTAATCCATTAATCCCAGTTTGAAGGGCCCAGTGAACCAAAAAAGAAAACAGAAAACACTGCCACTTATTTTATTAAAAACACCACACACATATGATGAAAAGGTGGGCAGATTTTGAGGAATCTCAAAATTTGAGTGGGCTTGCATCTGGTTGTTTTAAAAGGAAGCAACACAGGAACGACATAAACCCTGTTCAGACACTCAGCCTCCTCAGGTGTAAACAAACATTGGGATAAATGGGAGGGGGGTTTGCCAAGCCCTGTCCCCTCCAATATATCATCTGTATGTGATTCAGAGCCCTCAGTGTGTTTGAAGGCAAAGGTGTCTGAAGCAAGATGCTGCTATTTTGAACTCTGTAGTGCTATAGGAACGTTAGCATTCAGACTGCTCAGTAGGGTAAGACTTGAGAAACCATTGCTGGTAGTGTTGTGCTTAGATTTCCATTGTCTTAACAAGGAGATGGCTCTTTCTTGTTGTGCTTGGCTTGTGCTACCCAGAAAGATGTCTCAGTGGCTCACAGTGTTTGTTTCCATTTTTTTAATGGTTGACTGAGATGAAATTAATTGGGGACCAGCAACAAAATGTGCTCCCATTCAGAATTCCGACAGGAATGTATAGAAATACACATGGTATGGAAAAAGTAGATAGGGAAAAGTTTTTTCTCCCTCTCTTGTAATACCAGAAGTTGTGGATGTCCAGTGATGCTGAATGCTGGAAGATTCAGGACATATAAAAGAAAGGTTATAAGGTATATAAACAATGGAACTTGCAGTGATGACCACCAACATGGATGGCTTTAAAAGAGAATCAGACATATTCATGGAGGGATCAGATTCATGGAGGGACAGTGGCTTCTACCTCCACTGTCAGAGACAGTGAATACCAGTTGTTTGAGGCTCAACTTACTTGCTGTGAAATAGACAGACGTGTTCTTTTCACCTGAGCAATGCATGTATTTTGTACACATCCCCCCACCCTACACATAGATTATCTTTCACACGCGAAGCAGCCACAAGGAATGGCTCAAGAATGCAGCCATAATCATTGTGATTTGGGGGGAAATAGCTGACAGTTTTATCTAGTACATCGAGCTTGTCTGTTCGTGCATGCAAGGTTTGTTGTGTGTGTTGGTATCTGCCTAGGGTGATAAAATAGGGCCTAGCATGCTGACATTCACCTCATAAAATTGTTCAGGCCCATTTATGTATTGCACTTAAATATAAAATTAGCTGTATCATTAAATCATTGTAAATTCCCATCTGTGCTTTATCAAACATTACAGTGGGCTCCCCCCCCCCACTTTCTTCATTTTGCCACTGCAGTGTCTTAAACCGTTTCACTGCGGCAGAGCTAGACAGTGGCTAAAGTTTGGATTTTTTGGAGTTGCTTTAATCAATAAAGTTATCACCAGTCATTTCCCTTGATAACTGCTTTGTAAAGAGAACCTGACTTTGCTTGCTACAGCTGAGATGTTTTCAACCTGCTCTTGGAATAGAAGGTACTCCCTAAAGTCCAATTTTCATTTTAACCTTTCCTCAATAGCCTAGAAAAAAACCAGATTGCTGGTATTACTTTAATAGAAAGGAAATTTAAACCTCTTAGAGGTAACCTGCCCCTTCTTATGATTCAATAATATGACAAAGAATAACACATCTTTAAAGGTTACTGAAATAGCCTAATTCATATGTTTTAGGACTTCTGTAACAGTGGGTGATTTTTACTGTATTACGCTAAAACCTAAATAATGTTAAGGTTCCAGTACTTTAATGCCATCATAAAAAGGTCTATCTGAAGCAAATTGTCCTGCTCTAATGGGAGTTGCAATGGGTCACACAAGAGTGCATAAACTACTGGTAGTTGCAAATTCCTGATTCTGATAGTGCCAAATATAGGTATGAAATGGTGCATAAGAATGCATCCCTCGTTCCCATGGGTCCATGAGGCAACTTTCCCACCTTGTCCCAATGTCATTATGCTGCACTAAAAGCAAGAAGGCGATTTGCCTAGTTAGAAACCTCTGCTTGGTGCAGTGCATCCTGGATATCATTGAAAAACGGAAACAATCCACAAATGTGAGGCTGGTTGAAAACTTGAGAGTATGAATAGTGGCTTTACGTTTTCTCACTGAGCTGGAGTGCTGCATGCACACTGGTGGCATGAGAGTAAACTAGCATGGAAGGACAGGTAAACATCACTCTGGCCCTGCCTCACAGCTCTTCAGTCAGCAAGTGGTGTAGCCTCCTGTTTTGCCACCCTATTTTTGTCCAGGTACCTTAGCAGATACATCAAGAGCAATATTATTTTAAACCAATGACAACACACCTGAGCTGCTGCTTTCTCAATGGTAATAGAAGATTGGAAAGCTGGAATGATCTTGGACTCGTGCGTAGATAAACACACAGTAAATTGTTTTATACTGAGTCAGACCATTGGTCTATCTAGTTGTGAATGATGTACGCCAGGTGCAAGTAGAAGGTAGAACCAGGACTAGTAGCAGATCTGGGTGAGTTCCAGTAGACCAGCGAGGATTTCTGACTCCTAATTATTTAATAATGCAGCAACAAATAGGCTCCCCCTCCCCCAAAATTAAGGTCAATCCATCAAAGAAAGCTTGGGACGTGGGAACCAGAATTGAATTTATGCATTGCAATGATTGTGTGGCACATTCTGGTACTGTAAGCGAATTCCTGGGCTTGGTAAATGCTCAGAGCCACCCTGTTACTTCATTGTATGTCTGCCTTGCATAGCCAGTCTCTTGCCCTCCTAGAAATAAAGTTATGAAGCCAAATGCACAGGTACCCTTCAAAGCAATTTCTGTGGAATGAGCCAGCCTGGCTGCTCCCACCTGTAACTGGCTTTAGCCAATGAGGGAAATTAGATACCGGTAAGTATCTTTGTGTTTAATGGGGTGGCCTACACTTTGGTTTAGGATTGGCACTGAGGAAAAACTAGGATATTGCGCCTTTAACAGCTGTGTGGCAGACAGAAGTTCAACATGCTCAGCCTTTTCTAGTACAGTGGTACCTCGGGTTAAGTACTTAATTCGTTCCAGAGGTCCGTTCTTAACCTGAAACTGTTCTTAACCTGAAGCACCACTTTAGCTAATGGGGCCTCCCGCTACCGCCAGGCCGTCAGAACAAGATTTCTGTTCTCATCCTGAAGCAAAGTTCTTAACCTGAGGTAATATTTCTGGGTTAGCGGAGTCTGTAACCTGAAGCGTATGTAACCTGAAGCGTATGTGACCTGAGGTACCACTGTCTAGAAATAGAGTTATGGGAAATGCTTCACCATGACAGTACTGTGTAATTTTGTGTTATGCCAGATTCACATGACAACTGTGTTATATTACACCATACCCCAATGGCAGCCATTTTGTGACAGCACACTCTCAAAATTTGAAATGTTCCTAGTGGTTTAAAACTGGCAACCTTTGTTCTGCCAGACAGATAAAACTCCAGGTAGATAGAACTCCAAATAGATAGAATCATCCCCCCCCCCGCAAAAAAATAATGCCACAGGTACTAAGCCTTGCAAAGGAAAAGGCAGGAGGGGCGTTATTGAGTATTCATTCCTGAACTTTGATTATTAACCATTGCTGATTTGGCCTTTTTTAAGTGTGTGAGATGATTGACAGTTGCTGCCACTTTTCTCCCTGCTACATTTAAGAGATTAGGTTGTGACAGAATGCCTGATTCAAGGCCGCTAGTAAGTTTTACGAATAAGCAGAGTTTGGGACTCTTTGCTCTTTGGCCATACTAGTCCATATTATTTGGACCTCTTATATACATCCTCATCTTCTGGTGATCATTCTCATGCTTTCCAATGTGAGTATTCCAATATTGGCTTTCCACAGCTCGTTGGTCCCCTGGTCACAAGAAAACAAGGATATGTGTACTGCAATTTTACAACAGCCACTATCTCAAGGAAAACACCCATCTATGGTTGTCTTCCTTTTGTGACACATCTCTTATTTCTGTAGCCTTCAATGTCATTTTGCCTCTTGCGGCACCTTCTAAGTCTATAATAGGATTTTTAGTTAATTTTAAAAGATTTCCTCATGCTAATTGAACAAAATAACTGTGCTCCCTGTGTAAAATCTGCGGACAAACTGGAGATCTTTTAATTCTGGCCTTCAGCAGGCATGTGACCTTTCGGTTTTATCTTTCCCCCCCTCCATCCCTCTCTGCCTGTCCCCCCCCCCCACCTTAGTATATTGCAGTCAGAGAGGAAGTTAAACCTAGGTTTGACAGGTAGAGTTTTTTATTTCCCTTGACAGTGCACCTCTTGACCTCTATCTTCTTGCCAATGATTTTTTAAATCCTAAATGATTTGGGAATAATTGCTCCTCCTTTAGTGATTATTGCCCTTCACCGATAGTAAATCTGTGAAATCCCAGGGGGCTGGAGTACATTTTTGTATGCGTATGCCACAAGCTGGCCTGGATAGGCACTGCTGCTCATGTGCAGCTGCACTTTCAATGTGGATGGTCTTCTCGCATGAAAACTTCTCTTTAGAGACAGAGAGGAATACTTCACCAGTAATCAAATGCCCCAGTTAATTGCAGCAAGGGATTTGATCCTTTTTAGGCCCCTCATTTTGCAGGCATCTTCCTTGGAGCTTTATAAACCACTGGAAAACTGTGTTTCCTTAAACATTTGATAGCAAACAGAACAACTGCCTAGGCATAGGCTCCTGGTTTAGTGGAAGGGAACTTGGCCCTGACCTGGAGCTGAGCAAGTCACGCAATTGTTTCCAAAATCCATTAAATTTGAAATTTCCATTTTGAAACAACAACCACATTTGAACACTCAGTTGTTAAATCAAGATTCCTACTTATGCTACTGAATTATGCAGCTTTCTATGAAATCTGCATAAAAATTGTAGTGGAGACAAGAACACCAACAGCTGCTGCCACTTCATTCTTGCCTACTGCTGTTGGTTCCAGTTGCTGCTTAATTACTTTGATCCCTACTAGTAAGAAGTAATTATAAAAATAGGATTGTGTGATCATAGGTATCCAACTCCCCAGCTGAGCAATGAGTTCTGGAGCCAATGTAAAATGCAGCCAAAGTCCCTCATTTGAGGACTTTAGTTACATGCAGCTAGGCCTGGAATTAGATCCATTGCCCCTAACTTTCACATAAATGCCAAATAATATACTATTATGAGTTTGTGGGTGCCAGACCACTCCAATTAATCCCTGGACCTAGCAAGTGTTAGAATTTAATCACAGCTTGGGGTGTAAAGATGGTGCCAGACCTCTTTAATTCCTGGATCCAGCAATTATTAAAATCTACTGGTAATCAAGCCAAGATAGCTTCCTGCAAGATGATAGCCTGAGTCAGGCTTCTTGCCAATGATTTTTTAAATCCTAAATGATTTGGGAATAATGCCCCTTCTTTATGATAGAACTGACAGCAGATCATGGTACTTGTTCTATCAAAGTAAAATTCCATTTGGTATGACTGGAATGCAGGGCTTGAAAGAAAACGAGCATTAAAAATGCAATGTTTGTGTCAGTAAGTTGAATTGTCTCCTCACCTTTCTACATGACATAATTCCAGAAAATCTGATACTGGATCCTAATCATTTGTAATATATTCTAAATCTGTTTTAGAATAGGTATATTTTGAGGAAGCCAGCATAGTGATCAACTTCTGTGATGGTATATTACGATAGCCTTTTGATATGGCAGTGATCAGTGTTTTCCCCCAGGAGGTACTCAAGGGTACACAGTACCAGCACCTCTTTTTGTTGTTGTTAAAAAGTGTGGCACTTACTGTAACAACTTCATTGTGAGTACCTGCACCTCTTTTTCTAGAAAAAAAGCACTGGATGTGATGGAAAGAGACCTGGATGACATGTCAGCTTAGAATGGTACCAGAACAGCTGGAACAGCCACTGATGCAACTGATTCTATGCATTATCGAATTGGGCAGTGGCAGGACACAGAGAGCTGGATTAGGGACAGCTCATCTATGCATACTAAGGCATATTTGATCATCATGCAGTTAGCAACTGGCTCTTATGATAGCATGACAAATCTGCCTGCTCTGTCTCACACATGATGCAACTGTAGCTGTACTTAATCCACTGCTGTACAGATGTTTTCAAGGGAGAAGTGTTGAGTATTGTTTTTCACATAAAATGAAACCTGCTAAACTTGAATATCATGATCAGAGGAAATCTTCAGCAAACAGTTTGATGGGCTTTGCAAAATCTAGAGTCACATTTTCCCCACCCCCTTAACATTTAGTTATATTTTAAAAACAAATAACAGGAACCATCACCAAGAGAGACACTGCCAGTCATAATACATTTTCTGTTCCCCTAAAGCCCACCACTCTGTAACTAACTCCGCAACCAACTCAGCAATATGCAATTAATTGCCATTGCATAGTGAGCAATATTTCTCTATTAGGTAGCAATGGAAAGCACACAGTACTATTGGTATAGATAGATCTAGGCCGACAGGCTGTGGTTACAATGAAATAAAGCTGTGCCATTTAACCACTTAGTAACTGAAAGATACGATGGGAACGTCTTGAAATGTTAGCATACCATTGCATTGTCTCAAAAGCATGTTGACTTCTCTGATGGTTTTCAAATTGCCTGGATGTATAGTGCTTGCCTCATAGGTAGAGGATGAATTATATTCAAGGTGAGCTGACTTTTAATCAATACGGTGACAATATTATCTTGTTTAATTTGTATGATGGCTGTATTAAACATCAAATCAAGCAGTTTATTATGTCAAGGAAGATGAAGTATGACAGGAATCAAATGCACTTGACACCACTTTTGTCTGTATTTCATTGCTGTGACAGGCCATCATGATTGGGGATGATATTGTAAATGATGTTGGAGGTGCCCAGCATTGCGGTATGAGAGCTCTACAAGTACGGACTGGAAAGTACAGGTCAGTGCACATTAAATATGCTTTACATTCTATGCAGATGATGATGGAAACACAGGATATAACAGTGGCTTGTGATTTACCTTCTCTGACTCAATCCATGTCTTTATGAAGCTATGGTAAGCTTTTAATGCATGGATTTATAATAGGAGAAGAAATAGGTCATTTTGTGAAATAGGATGTTGAAATGCATCATCTGCCAGGTCTCATTTTGGATTGGAATTCGCACAAAGTCCACATTCTTACCATTGAGCCATGTGCCATCTTAATACTTTAGAACACAAACATCTACAGCCAAAATCTCTTTTGACTGTAAAGGTTTTTCAACATTGTGACAATATAGGAAGCTGCTTTAGGCTGAGTCCTTCTACACTGATTGGCAGCGGGTCACTAGGGTATCATGCTGGGTTATCTCCTAACCCTACCTGGAAATTCTGGGAATTGAACCTGGAACCTGTTGCATGCAAAGTATATCCTTGACCACTGATTCTGTTCTGCAAATGCTGCTTCCTTATCTTCCTGAAAACATGGAGTTAAGAGCATTCAGTTTTTAACATGTTTTGCCCTACAGTACTGGTCAAAACCCAGATTCCACAGCTGTAACATCACACTTTTCAGCTGGGAACCATCTAATTCATACTACAAATATGTAGAGATTGTAATTTATTTAAAAAAATAAAGTGTGATATGTGAGATTCTGGGCATGAACTTTGTTTGCCTTCATCAAAAATGATAACAGCTCAATCAAGACAACTTGTAGCTAGCTGCTTTTCAGTCCTTGTTCCCCATTATTTCCTATGAAAACCTAAACAATTCAACCAAATTCTAATTGCTTCTGTGTAGAGGCCACCCACATTGCAGCTATAAAGCTCAACAATAATGATGAATGTGATCTAAGGGAAGCCATCAGATTGTGATAGGACAAGCGTTAGATTCCTTCTTCCTCGCAAAGTGTCATTAATGACATGAAAAACACACAGTCATTGTAGCCCTTCACTTTGGAATACTGCTAGCTCTTCACTGTGGCAAGTGAAGAAGTCCCTGCCCTGACTTCCCAAGCAGATTGGAAAGTAAAAACACCTTCACACTATAGTTCCTTGCATTTTTGAAGGGCTGTAGCTCAGTGGTAGATTATCTGCCTTGGATGCAGAAGGTTCCAGGTTCAATCCCCAACATTTCCTGGTAGGGCTGAAACCCTGGGGAGCCACTGCCAGCCAGTGTAAACAGTACTGAGCTAGATGGACCATTGAGGTCTGAAAAAGCCAGCTTCATATCCATCTATGTACTTTGTTTCTTAAGTGTGCTAACATTGGGCTTTGTGCATCCGTACAGTGGCTGGGTACAAGGGGCCTAGTGCAGAGCTTTGCATGTACATTGGGCTCTTAAGACCTTTTGTGCAAATTGTATCTCCTTTCACCACTTGGCAAGCAGCTCTGTGATGCAAGGTAGTAATCAGAGCAACAGGAGAAGATGCCATGGAGACTAGCAGAAAGGAAGCCCAGGTGTGTATGTGGAAGTGTCTTTGCACATCTAAGAAATGCTCTGAATCCCAGATAATGTGTAAAAGGAGACATGGGGAATAGTTGTTTTTAAGAGTGACAATACATAAAAAGCCCTATAAAGAATCCCTAGGGACTTTAGAATATAACATAAAGGAAAGCATAGATGGAAATGAAACGCAAGAAATTCATTTTGATGGTTTATACTATTTGAAATCCCAGCTAATATATTTTGCGTTGCTTTCACTGTTTTAAGAGTATGATTGCTCATAGAATGTGAAATTCAGATAGAGATGAGTGTACTACATCCTAGTGCCCTTAGATGGTGCCATTAGTACATTTACTGCAGCTTTGACCAACGTTCTTCCCTAGAGGCTCTAAGCAGCAGTTGCCAAATCACAGTAAAACTTGAAAGCTTTGTTAACAGCTGCCAGTACAATGGCATTTTCCAGGTACCTCACTGATCAAAGGTTTCCAACTTTCTAAGCTGTCAGGTAAGTTTGTCCCATGAAATTCTTTACAAATCCATGCTTGGATTGCCTGAAAAGCTTTCCTTCCATTTCTTACAAAAGATTGGTGAATGAGCTGATCAAAGCACACACACAGGCCCAAACCTGGTTGAAAACAATGTACAGATTGAAACATCACATCCCACCAGCCCAGCCCAGCCAGCATGTAAATGGAAAGCAGTTCTTCTTTAGATTGGAATGTGCGGCTCATTTTAAGTAAAGTATAATTTGTCAACAGATATGGAGACCCATGCTTTTTTGACAGCTAGGTGTTCATAGTATGGCACGTACTGCCACGGCTACAAGAATGGCCATGAAGCTTTTTTCAAAGAGGAGGACTGGGGAAGTTCTGAGTGTTTCATTTGGCCTGCAACTCTTGATAGATTCATTCTTACACTTCTAAAATTAAAATGTCTTTTAGACTATGCTGCCTATGAGCTATGTAACAGTTACCTCTGTGCAAGAGTGATGCCAAGATCCTTCCCATCAATTATGCAGTTCATATTACTATTCCAATACTTTGTTACTTGAGAACACATTACAGTAAGAGGGTAAAACTACCCAGTGGCATTTGCAACTGTCTTCCCAAATTGGGAAGGGCTGCACAATGGATTGGGTGTGTCGTTTTGTGCAGGTGAGGAGTCTCTGGTTTCTTATTTGCAGGTATTGTAATTGAAATATTAAATCCTGGTTGACCCGAGGCTCTTTCTTGGCTAGCATCACTTTGGTTGAGCACAGTTGTCGAGGTTCACAAGATACCAAGAGGTTGTAAAATGTTCAGCTGTTTTTGGCAGATGTGAGGGGGAGACTCACAGTACTGTTTTGGAGAGCAACAGATTGAAATACTCAAGCAGGCTGAATCAAATAGCACCAGGGGGTGGAAAGAGACCAACCTAGTCACATAGGCTCGACGTGTTCTGCCAGGAGTCTTAAGTTTTCCCTTGGCATTCATTCCCCTACATGCTAGGTGATTGTGGACAGAAGGCGGCAGTGTTTTCCCTCCAGCTTATAAAACAGAACCATTCTGTTCAGGAGAGTGGAAACAAAATGAGTATGCTGTCCTGTGTTATTCTCACCCTGATCTTGATCTTGATTTAAGCACTTCCTGGCTAGCATACAACAGAGGGTTATAAATTGTTGGGTTTTGTTTTAAATGCGTTCTTGCTCTCAATGACGGTTCTGTAATATCTGGTCAAGAAAACACTATTTTGAAGAGCCTGGGGTTTTCACATCATGGTACAAATTGACAAATCGGTTTTATGGCAATAATGTAGAAGTTAAATTTTCTGGTTTTAATGGTTGCTTTCATTCTGAGAGTAGGTACAACAGCTGGTTATCCATTAAAGCCTCATGGTATTTGTACAGAAATAGTGGGGGGAAAGTTACAGAGACGACTTATCCAGTGGGATGATGCTAGTTTACAAAATGAAGAACTACTTCTGGAATTTTTGTTTATAATAGAGATTTAAATTCCACTTTAAAAATTCATTTAAAATCCATTCAAAATCCACTTTAATCCCCTTTTTCCTACTAGCACCAAACTTAAGGTGGCATACATGTGACTCTTAGTATTAATGGACTGGGCTCCCATCAAGGGCCTATCAACACTATGTATTATCTGGACTTCCTTAAGCTTTTATGTAATTGCCTGTGGATATTTAGCAATTTCTTAGAATTCAGGTAGATTACTTAATTGCATGGTTAACTGTTACGAGGGCCGGGGATTATTGCATGTGCAAAAAGATAGTGTAAATTCTTTTAAGGAAAACTCGGAGGTTGTTTGGTTCATGTCACTCACTTATTGTTGAGTTCTGTGCGGACTTGCTAGACTAGGCAAATTTCGAGAGCCACTTTAGTTTATTCAGGTTGCCTGTCAAGCCAATTTATATTTCTCCTTTCCCTGCCAATGCATTATTCATGAAGCAATGTGGGTGACTGGACTGAATCCCTGAAAAGAAAGGCATTCTGTGCAGGCCTCTCCAAAATTTCCTACGGAGTGTCTGTGCTCTCCTGCATGGTATAATCTGCAAGGACAAACCTGCCTCCATTTTGAAGACAAGCAACACATAGCTGAATTTCTGCGTTCGGTCCCAACATTCTGTCTCCTGTTCTCTCTGCTGCGAGTTTTAGAACAGGGTGGGATAAGGGTTTTTTGTCTGTGCTAATCCCAACCTTGCAGTAGCAAAACCCTGCTGTAGAGTAGCCATGGTAGTTACCCAAACATTTCAGTGTTTTCTTCTGTTCACATAGCTTGCGGTATGATCAATTATTTGCTAGCTCATCACTTAGAAGCCCCACTGAATATCATTCCAAAAAGTAAGAGAGAGTGGTGTCTTAAAGAAGCTGGTGGGGCTGCTGAAATGTGCTTCAGAAGCATTAGCATTGGAGACAGCTGTGCAATTGTGGTTTCACTAGTGATTTCCTTCCTTTAGACTGTGGTTCCTTCTTCTGGTTTGCATGCTTCATGTGGAAACTGCAGTAGTTTTTCCTGGACACCATGCAGAGAGAGGCTAAAAATTAGATCTGTTTGTTCTGTGATTAAATCAAAGTAAAAGCATTATATTCTGACAATGAAATGGTTGCATTAATATCTCCAGCCACCTCCATTTAAATTAGAAATGTTTAACAAATGTTTTTACCCAAGGCTGTAGTAAGTGCATACCAGACCCTTGGAACATCTTGTGATTTAAGATACAATAGTGTGGTCCAGAATAACGAAGATGGTTTCTCTACAGTAGCCTAGTTCCAGTGGGCCTTCTTATTGCCTCCTTAAACCCAGAAGTATTGCACAATGACTTGATCTCTCAGCAGCCTTCATTACTGTTGACCAGGCTTCCTCAACCTTGGCCCTTCAGATGTTTTGAGACTACAATTCCCGTCATCCCTGACCACTGGTCCTGCTAGCTAGGGATCATGGGAGTTGTAGGCCAAAAACATCTCGAGGGCCAAGGTTGAGGAAGCCTGCTGTTGACCATAGTATCCTCCTGAAGAGGCT